TGTGCTACTCCCATGGGTCCCTATTGCCTTTTCTTCCCTCTCCCTCTTCCTCCTTTCTTGGAGCCACTCATACTTTGAGACGCCGTGGCAGCTGTTCAGGGGTGTTTCAGGGGTGCCAGTTTCCAACAGCCCTACATCTCCCGAGGGAAAGGACTTGGCACCTGGAGCTGCAGCTCATCCTTCCGTAGTCACTCTGCTGGTGTCTGCTGCTGATGCTTCCATTGTGACAGTGGTTCTCAACCTGGGGTCCCCAGATGTTTTTGGCCTACAACTCCCAGAAATCCTAACAGCTGGTAAACTAGCTGGGATTTCTGGGAGTTGTAGGCCAAAAACATCTGGGGACCCCAGGTTGAGAACCACTGCATTGTGACATGTTCTCCTGACATTTAAGGGATCACAGCAGGAGGAGGAGGAAGGGGGCCCCTATCAAGAGACTGGCATCTTCAAGGCTGGCCTTCCCTGCTGAGACCCTGCTAGGCGCTGTGTGTGTCATATTTACTGGAGTCTAATGTGCCAGAGAATCTAATGAATGTGATGCATAGTTGCAGAAAGTTTCCTCTTTCTGTCATTTGGTCATTGCCTGCTGAGAGTCCCTTCTTTAAACTCAAAATGTTGGAGCACTGAAAACAAACAGGTACTTTAAAGATTTCGTAACAGTCTATAGGCTCTTTCAATCTTGTTCACTGGGAACAGGCACTATCTTCTTAATTGTAACTAACTAATGGGGAAATCCTAACGTCTAATTTGGGCAGTCTGTCTTTGCCTGTGTTGACGTGGAGCCCCTGCACCCGGTACCGACTGCGTCTGGCTTCCGCGAGCGACCCTTGCCCAACAGAGCTTTGTAGACCTCCAGGGAAAAAGAAGGAGTTCAGGTTGCTGTGATGGCTGGCTGAAGTCCCTCAGCCAAGCTGTGGCTGTATGTCTCCCGGCCAAGCTGTAGGGCTGTATAACCCCGGCCAAGCTGTAAAAGACGAAGCTTTTCTACAGGAGCCACTTCGTTCTATGTCCTGTGCGAAAGGCTTCTCTGTGAGAACTAACTCAAAATGGCTCCTGTTCCCTCCAAAACTCAAAAAGGGGCGGGACCAGGGAACCTAACTATAATTGACAGGTGGCTTGCCCTATGATTGCAGACTATAGCAGGAAGCCACCCTGCTGCAAAATCCCAAGCCTGGGATTGCAAACAAACATTTAATGCAAAGCAAACAGAAATGGAGCTCCTGGTACAGCTGTACCAGCACAGAATGTGACCCAGCTTGTGTTCCTGATTGGAGAGTGTTGTTGCTTCCTGTGTGCTGGTGTGGGGCTTGCATGTGGGGGGAAGGGAGGCCAGGCAGGGCCTCCTGGGATTCCTCCCCCCCCCTCCTGAGTCCTGGAGGGCATTCCTTCCTTCCTTCCTTCCTTGGGTGGGAGCAGCAGGGCTTCCCTCTTGGAGCTCCTGGGGCCTCCCACCCAAGTCTCACCCAGGGCTGGCCCTGCTCAGCCTCCCAGGCCAGCCGGGAAAGAGCGGGGTATTCAGGCCAGGCAGCCAGGAGGGACCCCTTGGGGTTAGGATGGCTCTTCTGGGGGTCGTGCTCCCCCCCCCCCCCCCCCGCACAGGGCCCTCCTGAGGGTTCAGCCTGGGTTTCCTCTGGGCTTTGGAGCTGCTTGAGTCTCACAATGGACAGCTGATAGCAGCACATTCCCTGCAGCCAAGAAAGCCTCCCAGCCCTTGAGAATGAGTTGTTGTTCATTCGTTCAGTCGTCTCCGACTCTTCGTGACCTCATGGACCAGCCCATGCCAGAGCTCCCTGTCAGCCGTCACCACCCCCAGCTCCTTCAAGGTCAGTCCAGTCACTTCAAGGATGCCATCCATCCATCTTGCCCTTGGTTGGCCCCTCTTCCTTTTGCCTTCCACTTTCCCCAGCATCATTGTCTTCTCTAGGCTTTCCTGTCTCCTCATGATGTGGCCAAAGGACTTCCACTTTGTCTCTAGTATCCTTCCCTCCAGTGAGCAGTCGGGCTTTATTTCCTGGAGGATGGACTGGTTGGATCTTCTCGCAGTCCAAGGCACTCTCAGAACTTTCCTCCAACACCACAGCTCAAAAGCATCTCTCTTCCTTCGCTCAGCCTTCCCGAAGGTCCAGCTCTCACATCCGTAGGTGACTACAGGGAATACCATGGCTTTGACTATGCAATGGATCTTTGTTGCCAGTCTGATGTCTCTACTCTTTACTATTTTATCGAGACTGGACATTGCTCTCCTCCCAAGAAGTAAGCGTCTTCTGATTTCCTGGCCAGTCTGCATCTGCAGTAATCTTTGCACCTAGAAATACAAAGTCTGTCACGGCGTCCACGGTTTCTCCCTCTATTTTCCAGTTGTCAATCATTCTTGTTGCCATAATCTTGGTTTTTTTGATGTTTAGCTGCAACCCGGCTTTTGCGCTTTCTTCTTTCACCTTGATTAGAAGGCTCCTCAGCTCCTCCTCGCTTTCGGCCATCAGAGCGGTGTCATCTGCATATCTGAGGTTGTTAATGTTTCTTCCAGCAATCTTAACCTGCCGATTTGCTGCCGATTTGCTACCGGGCCCAATTCAAAGTGCTGGCATTGGCCTTTAAAGCCCTAAACGGTTCTGGCCCAAGCTACCTATCCGAACGTATCTCTGCCTATCAGCCCACCAGGACCCTAAGATCTTCTGGGGAGGCCCTGCTCTCTATCCCGCCTGCTTCACAGGTGCGGCTGGCGGGGACGAGAGACAGGGCCTTTTCTGTGGTGGCCCCTCGGCTATGGAACGCCCTTCCCATGGAGGTAAGATCAGCCCCCTCGCTAATGGTGTTCCGGAAAAGATTAAAAACCTGGATGTTTGAACAAGCATTTGGTTAATCAGTGCAATGAATGCGACGTTACAGGAATGGAAAATGGACGACGAATTTGGATTACGACTCCAGTGATGAGATCTATTGTGTTGTTATTGTTGTGTTAATTTTGTACTGTGCTTTTATGGTTTTAAATTGTATATTGTTGTTTGATTATCTTGTTGTAAACCGCGTTGAGTCGCCAGTTAGGCTGAGAAACGGCGGTATACAAGTAAAGTAAATAAATAAATAATAAATAAATTAACCCCAGCCTTGCATTCATTGCATTGAGAAGGAGTTGTTGTTGTTCATTCGTTCAGTCGTCTCCGACTCTTCGTGACCTCATGGACCAGCCCACGCCAGAGCTCCCTGTCGGCCGTTACCCCCCAGCTCCCTCAAGGTCAGTCCAGTCACTTCAAGGATGCCATCCATCCATCTTGCCCTTGGTCGGCCCCTCTTCCTTTTGCCTTCCACTTTCCCCAGCATAATTGGCTTCTCTAGGCTTTCCTGTCTCCTCATGATGTGGCCAAAGTACTTCAACTTTGTCTCTAGTATCCTTCCCTCCAGTGAGCAGTCGGGCTTTATTTCCTGGAGGATGGACTGGTTGGATCTTCTCGCAGTCCAAGGCACTCTCAGCACTTTCCTCCAACACCACAGCTCAAAAGCATCCATCTTCCTTCGCTCAGCCTTCCCTAAGGTCCAGCTCTCACATCCGTAGGTTACTACAGGGAATACCATGGCTTTGACTAGGCGGATCTTTGTTGCCAGTCTGATGTCTCTACTCTTTACTATTTTATCGAGATTGGACATTGCTCTCCTCCCAAGAAGTAAGCGTCTTCTGATTTCCTGGCCACAGTCTGCATCTGCAGTAACCTTTGCACCTAGAAATACAAAGTCTGTCACGGCCTCCACGGTTTCTCCCTCTATTTTCCAGTTGTCAATCATTCTTGTTGCCATAATCTTGGTTTTTTTTTATGTTTAGCTGCAACCCGGCTTTTGCGCTTTCTTCTTTCACCTTGATTAGAAGGCTCCTCAGCTCCTCCTCGCTTTTGGCCATCAGAGTGGTGTCATCTGCATATCTGAGGTTGTTAATGTTTCTTCCAGCAATTTTCACCCCAGCTTTGCATTCATCCAGCCCCGCACATCGCATGATGTGTTCTGCATACAAGTTAAAAAGGTTGGGTGAGAGGATGCAGCCTTGCCGTACGCCTTTCCCAATCTTGAACCAGTCTGTTGTTCCGTGGCCAGTTCTGACTGTTGCTACTTGGTCCTTGTACAGATTCCTCAGGAGAGAGACAAGGTGGCTTGGGATGCCCATCCCACAAGAACTTGCCACAATTTATTATGATCCACACAGTCAAAGGCTTTAGAATAGTCAATGAAGCAGAAGTAGATGTTTTTCTGTAACTCCCTGCCTTTCTCCATTATCCAGCGGATATTGGCAATTTGGTCTCTCGTTCCTCTACCTTTTCTAAACTCAGCTTGAACATCTGGCAACTCTCGCTCCATGTATTGCTGGAGTCTTCCTTGCAGGATCTTGAGCATTACCTTACTGGCATGAGAAATAAGGGCCACTGTACGGAAGTTTGAGCAGTCTTTCGCATTTCCCTTTTTTGGTATGGGGATATAAGTTGATTTTTTCCAGTCTGATGGCCATTCTTGTGTTTTCCATATTTGCTGGCATATGGCATGCATCACCTTGACAGCATCATCTTTTAAGATTTTAAACAGTTCAGCTGGGATCCCGTCGTCTCCTGCTGCCTTGTTGTTAGCAATGCTTCTTAAGGCCCATCAACCTCACTCCTCAGGATGTCTGGTTCTAATTCATTCACCACACCGTCAAACTATCCTCAATATTATTATCCTTCCTATACAGATCTTCTGTATAGTCTCGCCACCTTCTCTTGATCTCTTCAGCTTCTGTTAGGTCCCTGCCATCTTTTTTTCTTATCATACCAATTTTTGCCTGGAATTTACCTCCAATGTTTCTAATTTTCTGGAAGAGGTCTCTTGTCCTTCCTATTCTGTTGTCTTCCTCCACTTCCATGCATTGCTTATTTAAAAATAGTTCCTTGGAGGGAACCCTAAAGACAGCCAGCCCCGCCCCCTTTGTCGGACAGGCCACGCCCCTTTTGTAACCCGTGACCACGCCCACTTGGCGTCACAGAGGCGCCGACGTCACCCAGGCCCCGCCCCCTGCGCAGCCGCCATTTCTGGGAGGAAGACAAGGAAGGACGAGGAAGGTGAGAGTTGTTGTTGTGGTTGTGGAGCCTCTCTGGCCCCCCTCCGCCTCTTCTGGTTTCCCTCCGGGACCCATTTCGGTCTCTTCCATCAGGGCAAAGACAGGCTGAGGTGGGCCAGGAATTCCTCTCCTGCCTCTTGGCCTCCTTTGTGATGCAGGCAGATCCAAAGGGAGGGAGGCCTTTCCCTCAGCCGCGGCCTGCTCTTTCCTGAGCGCCAGGCCGAGAGAGGGAGAGAGATCCGGGCCCTTCTGGAGTGAGTCTCCTCCTCGCAGAGCCTGCATTCAGCTTTCCATCCCGTTCTCAGCACGGGTTTCAAACTCTATCCCTTGTGTTTTAGACTCTGTTCTGTGCATTTTAATATGTATTTTATAGAAACACAATTTGTAGACATACATTTTAATATTCCAGAGGCACTCCCAAGTGGCCAGATACTGGTCAAAGGACATTTAATCAACTACCAAACTCACAAATTTTCTATTTTGTCTGTTTGTTTGCTTTGTTCTGTTAGAAATGTAATATAATTTGACTGGTTGCCCTGACATGACAAATAAATAAAATCTAATATTTATGACTGTGAGAGCCGTTCAGCAGTGGAACTCTCTGCCGTGGAGTGTGGTGGAGGCTCCTTCTTAGGAAGCTTTTAAACAGAGGCTGGATGGGGGTGATTTGAATGCAATGTTCCTGCTTCTTGGCAGAATGGGGTTGGACTGGATGATGGCCCAGCAGGTCTCTTCCAACTCTTTGATTCTATGATTCTATGATTTATGGGATTTTTAGCATGTTTACAAGGTGTTCTCGTTCTGCAGTAACCTGTCTTGGGACGCAAGGGGAGGCGGGTAAGAAATAAAATTATTATTATTGTATTGTTGAAGGCATCCATGGCCGGAATCACTGGGTTGCTGGGAGTTTTTCAGGTTACTGTATGGCGAACGTGTTCCAGCAGCATTCTCTCCTGACGTTTTGCCTGCTGCATCTGTGGCTACTGGCGCCATTATAGAATCAGAGAGTTGGAAGAGACCTCATGGGCCATCCAGTCCAACCCCCTGCCAAGAAGCAGGAATATTGCATTCAAATCACCCCTGCCAGATGGCCATCCAGCCTCTGTTTAAAAGCTTCCAAAGAAGGAGCCTCCACCACACTCCGGGGCAGAGAGTTCCACTGCTGAACGGCTCTCACAGTCAGGAAGTTCTTCCTCATGTTCAGATGGAATCTCCTCTCTTGTAGTTTGAAGCCATTGTTCCGCATCCTAGTCTCCAGGGAAGCAGAAAACAAGCTTGCTCCCTCCTCCCTGTGGCTTCCTCTCACATATTTATACATGGCTATCATATCCCCTCTCAGCCTTCTCTTCTTCAGGCTAAACATGCCCAGCTCCTTAAGCCGCTCCTCATAGGGCTTGTTCTCCAGACCTTTTATCATTTTAGTCGCTCTCCTCTGGACACATATTATTATTGTTTTGTTGAAGGCAATCACTGGGTTGCTGTGAATTTTTCAGGCTCTATGGCGAACGTGTTCCTGCAGCATTCTCTCCTGATGTTTGGCCTGCAGCATCTGTGGCTACAGGCGCTTTCAGAGGTTCTGTTGGTGGTCAGGCAAGTGGGGTGTGCATAATCTCTGTGGAATGTCCAGGGTCAGAGGAAGGAACCCTTGTTTGTGCCAAGCATGTTGAAGTTAACAGGTTGGATAGCATTGGGGCCCCTTCCGCACAGCTGAATATAATCCCACATATATATTCTGCTTTGAACTGGAATACATTGAAATTGTCCACGTTTCAATATATTGTGGATTTCAATGGCTTCTCTGTGTATTCAGCCATGAATACACATGGCAGGAGGTTGGACTGGATGGCCCATGGGGTCTCTTCCAACTCTATGATGGTTTCTCAGAGTGGTTCTGTATTTCTGTGTTCTCAAATAAGATTCTGTATCCAGGTTGGTTTATCAGGTGCTCGGCTGTGGTGACTTTTCTACTTGAATTAGTCTGCATGCCTTTTGTGTTCTTGATTCGTATCTGACAGCTGCATCCTTTTGGAAGTACTTATGTAGACTTGTCCACAGCTGCACAGTATATGATAGACTCCTTCAGTGGATAGAGCAATGGCCTTCCTGCCCACTCCCCACACCCAAGCCATATTCCCAAGCTCCCCTCCCTAATTACCCCCAAGCTGCCCCTCTTCCCGCTCCTCACACCCAAGCCCCTTCCCTCCCCAATCCCCACATCCAAGTTGCCCTTCCTACCCACACCTAACTGCCGTTCCTGTCCACTTCCCACATCCAAGCCATTCTCCCTGGACAGACTCAAGGAGCCCTCCCTGCTCACTACGCACATCCAAGGCACCCACCCTGCCCACTTCTCATACCCAAGCTGCCCTTCCTTCCCCCCACCCAACATCCAAACAGCATTCCCAATGTGCCCTCACCCATGCCACCTTCCCTGCACATTCTCCAAACCCAAGCCAGCCTCCCTGCCCACTCCCCACAAGCAAGCCACCCTCCCTACACCCAAGCCGCACTCCCAAGCTGCCTTCCTTGCCTACTCCCCACATGCAAGCTGCCCTCCCTGCCCACACCCAAGCCAACCTCCATGCCCACTTCTCCACATCCAAGGCCCCTTCCTTCCCACTCCCCACACCCAACTTGACCTTCTTACCCACACCCAACTGCCCTTCCTGCCCACTCCCCACATCCAAGCCACCCTCCCTGGCCACTCCTCACATCCAAGCCACCCTCCCTACTTATTCCCCACACTCAAGCCACAATCCCAAGCTGCCCTCCCTGCCCACTCTCCACACCCAAGCTGCCCTCCCTGTCTACTCCACACAACCAAGCCACCCTCCCTGCCCACTCTCCAAACTCAAGCCAGCCTCCCTGACCACTCCCCACATCAAATTCGCCCTCCCTCTGGCCAAGCCGCACACCCAAGCAGCCTTCCTTGCCCATACCCAAACCACCTCTCTGCCCACTCCCCACACCCAAGCCCTCCTCCATGCCCACTTCTCCACATCTAAGGCCCCACACCCAAGCTGACCTTCTTACCCACACCCAACTGCCCTTCCTGCCCACTCCCCACACCCAAGCCACCCTCCCTGGCCACTCCTCACACACAAGCCGCCTCCCTTCCCACTCCTCACATCCAAGCCACCCTCCTTGCTTACTCCCACACTCAAGCCACAATCCCAAGCTGCCCTCCCTGCCCACTCTCCACACCCAAGCTGCCCTCCCTGTCTACTCCACACAACCAAGCCACCCTCCCTGCTCACTCTCCAAACTCAAGCCAGCCTCCCTGACCACTCCCCACATCCAAGTCGCCCTCCCTGCCCATTTTCCACACCAAATTCACCCTCCCTCCGGTCAAGCCACACTCCCAAGCTGCCTTCCTTGCCCACTCCCCACACCCAAGCCATCTTCCATGCCTACTTCCCCACATCCAAGGCCCCCTCCCTTCCCATACCCCACACCCAAGTTGCCCTTCTTGCCCACTCTCAAGCTGCCCTCCCTACCCACAGCCAAACCACACTCCCTACCCACAGCCAAACCGCACTCCCAAGCTGCCCTTTCTGCCGACTCCACACCCAAGGCCCCTCCCTTCCCACTCCTTATACTCAGCCCCTTCCCTTCCTTGCCCATTTTTCACACCCAGCCACGGGTGCAGGCTAAATGTTAGGAGAGAATGCTGCTGGAGTATGGTCATAAAGGCTTCAACAATATATGAGAGTATTATTTCTGTATTATTCCTTTTTATATTTTTACACCTGTTCTCATTATTTTCCTATCAATTTGCTGAATTCAACCTTGAGAAATTCGTAAGGATTAATTAGAGAGTGAAAATAAAACAAAAGTGGCACTCTCTCGGCCTCTGAGAAGGAGAACTTTGGTTTTTTGATACCTTGCCTGCCTGCCTTCCTTCCCTTCCCCCTCATAGCTTTCCCCCTTTCATTTCTCTTTCTGCTATCCTTTTTCTTCCTTCCATCCTTCCCTCTCCCTGACTTCTCCTTTCCTTTCTTTCTCTTCTTTTTCTCCTTCCTTCTTTCCCCTCATTCCTCCTCCTGTCCCCTCACATATGTCACCTTTCCCAGTGACATCACAGAGGGTCATTTCACCTGGCAATAATAATAATAATAATAATAATAATAATAATAATAATAATGAAAATGAACACGTCAAACTCCTCTGGGACTTCCTGATTCAGACAGACAAAGTTTTGGAGAACAATACTCCTGACCTTTGTTAAAAAAACAAAGTATGGATTGTCAATGTTGCAATCCCAGGAGACATCAGGATTCGAGAGAACAACTAGAAAAACTGGCACGATATGAGGATTTAAAGATCAAACTGCAAAGACTCTGGCACAAGCCAGTAAAGGTGGGCCCAGTGGTGATCAGCACACTGGGTGCAGTGCCTAAAGACCCTGGCCTGCACTTAAACACAATCGGCGCTGACAAAATTACCATCAGCCAGCTGCAGAAAGCCACCTTACTGTAATCTGCATGCATTATTTGCCGATACATCACACAGTCCTAGACACTTTGGAAGTGTCCGACATGTGATCCAATACAACAGCCAGCAGAGTGATCTTGTCTGTTGTGGACTCATCTTCTTGTGTTTCAAATAATAATAATAACTTTATATTTATACCCTGCCTCCATCTCCCCAAAGGCACCTGGGGTGGCTTACATGGGCCCAGGCCCAACAGAACAGTTAAAACATAACATTAAAATGCATATCAACAAAACAATAATAAAAGTAATATAACAAAATAAAAAAATATTAAACAGTGTATAAAACTAACATCAAAACCTACAACCAGTAGAAAAGTTCAGTGTCTTGTGGGTGGGCAATCTGGTGCCACAACATTAAAGGATGGAGTTAATGAGTAAAATGCAAATATCATATAGCAGCGAACAATTTACCGTTAAGGATTTGGATATAACAATCATAAAGTGCTTGAGGACAAGATTTTGGGGTCCTAACTGATGCCAGCTAGTTAAAACCATAACGGAACATCCATGTCTTTGAGTCCTTGTGGAAGGTGGGCAGGGTGTTAGCCTGATCTCCTTGGAGAGGCAAATCCAGAACTGGGGGGCCACGATTGAGAAGGCCCTTTCTCTCGTCCTCACCAGATGAGCCCGAAACTGAGGTGGAAGTGAGAGAAGAGCCTCCCCCGAGGATCTTAAAGAGCGTGTGGGTTTGTAGAGGAAGATACGGTCACAAAGATAGGCAGGTCTTGAACTGTTTAGAGCTTTATAGGTGATGACCTGCACCTTGAATTGGGACCAGAAACTTATCAGCCAGTGGAGCCGTTTAAACAGGGGATCGACCGCCCCCTGTAGTTTGCTCCAGTTAACAATCTGGCCACTGACCTTTGCACCAACTGCAGTTTCCGGGCTGTCTTCAAGGGCAGCACCACATAGAGTGCATTACAGTAATCCAACCTTAATGTAACTAATGCATGGACCACCATGGTTAAGTCAGACTTCTTGTGGTATGGTCATAGCTGGTACACGAGTGTCAGCTCACGACAGCTGGGCTCAATGATGACACGAGACTTCCATCGTAATCAAACAAAGAACTTTACTATCAGATACTCAGACACAGAAAAGCCGGGATTGCCTGGTCGCAGCAGGCAATCCCTTATATACACTCCCACCAGTTTAAAACGTGAACTCCCGCCAAACCCAAAACCCCGCGCAAAGCTTCCCGCCACCAGACAACTGCTTCCCTCCAAGGCCACCAGCTGCAGATTCCTTATCGGGGTGAAACGTCAGGAGTCTAGTTTTCGGCGCCAAAGTCTGGGCTCCGGAAACTGGATCCTGACACACGAGTCTTAACTGTGCGAAAGCCCTCTCAGCCACTGCCAACACCTGAGCATCAAGTGTCAGCGCTGAGTCTAGGAGGACCCCCATACTGCAGACATGTGTCTTTAGGGGGAGTGTAACCCTGTCGAGCACAGGTTGCCACCCTATACCCCAATCGGCCGAACGACTGACATGGAGGACCTCTGTCTTGTCCAGGATCTGAGGGACTTCCTTGGAATTAGGTGGAAAGGAGTACTAGAGTTGTGTGTCATCTGCGTAGAGATGGCACCGAACTCCAAAACTCCAGATGACCTCGCCCAGTGGTTTCATGTAGATGTTAAAAACCATGGGAGAAAGAATAGAACCTTGCAGCACCCTACAGGTCAAAGGCTAGGGATCTCAGCAGGTGAACCCCCAGTTTCACCAACTGTGTGTGACCCTCCAGGAAGGAGTGGAGCCACTGCAAGGCAGTGCCCCCAAGGCCCACTCCAGATAGCTGTCCCAGAAGGATACCATGACCAATGGTATCAAAAGCTGCTGAGATATCCAAGAGAACCAACAAGGACACACACCCCGTCAAGTTCTTTGCGGAGGTCAACCACAAAGGTGACCAAATACATCTCGGTACCATGACCATGCCTGAACCCAGACTGCGATGGGTCCAGATAATCAATTTCAACCAAGAATGCCAGGAGCTGGGAGGCAACCACTTGCTCCAGAACCTTGCCCAGAAAAGGAAGGTTTGAAGTTGGCCGATATTCAAAATTGAGGAGTCAGGGGATGTCTTTTTCAGGATTGGTCTCACTATAGCCTGCTTTAGGCATGATGGGATTTGCCCTTGATCCAAAGAGGCATTTATTATCCTTAATAACCATTCAGCCAATCCTCCTCCAGCAAGTTTTATAAGCCAAAAAGGGCAAGGATCTAGTGCACATGTGGTTGATCTCACCACTCCAAGGATCTTGTCCATGTCATCAGCCTGCCAAGCTGAAATGAATCCAACAAGATCGACCTGACAGGCACCTTGGTTACCTGTACAATAAGGTTGGCATCCAGGTCGAAGCGCATCCGAGTGACTTTGTCTGCAAAATGATGCGTGAACTCACTGCGTCGAGTAATCAGATTGTCAAAGGATTCCTCCCCACGGAGGTGAAGGAGCACTCCAACAACCCAAAACAATTCCTCTGGTCTATTGCAGACACAATGCAGGCAGTCGAGAAAGCCTTCCTGGCTGCCCACAAAGCTGCAGAGTAGGCCTAATAGAGGCTCTAGCCCATGCTTGATCGAAAACGCTCCGAGATCTCCACCAAAGGCACTCTAGTCTCCATCTTGAACGCTTCATCAATGCCAACTCAGAGAAATCAAGGAGCTGGATTAATTCTGCGCAACGAGAGAGGACGTTTGGGGGCGATTGTGTCTAATGCCCTGGCTATTTCTGTGTTATAGATACCCAGGGTTTCAACAGGATTGTCAGCCACCATGACAGACAGATCCCCAAGGGACACACAGAGACACACAGGGGGAAATGGGCAAAGGTCTAAGGAGTTAGCAGGGGGGAAAGGGCATTGTGGATGGAGCTGCACTTGCCTTTGTATCTGAGAGGGGTGAATGGTTGAAAGGGGGCTTCCTTCAGCAGAGACTAATTTTGTAAACATCCCAACAAGTCACAATGTGGTTCTGAATTAGATGGGTGGGCAGGCAGGACCATGGTTGGCAGGGGGATTCCTTTGGAAAAAAGACAGACATTTTGGTGGCAGGGGGCACCTCATTTGGGATGTTCAGGTAGTGGACCTGGGACCCGTTGTGAGATGGTGGGCAATCCAGTAATTTTTGTGTCCCTCGGCATTTAGCACATTATCATTATCCAGTGAATGATGCCCCTTAATATTGGAAAGGACAGCTTTTTTCTGCCTGTCCATCTGCCTTCACTTACTAAAACCAGTTATTGCCTTTGCTGTATCTATATATGCGCTTGAGACCTTCATTTCTCTATTTCTTGGTATTTCCATTTTCGGCATGACCCGTGAAGGGAAAGTGGGGAAATCTGGAAGGTAAAGAAGATTTCTGGTTTTCAACATTGACTTTTTGCTTCTTTCCTGACCAGGGAAATGAGGATTCTATGGAGCCACCTCTGGGGTGCAGTAAGGATACCATTAATATAGGAAGAAGAAGAAATCCTCTCAAGGTGATGATTTTGTTGAATTCTTGACCTCACTTACAGATAAGAAAGAAAAAAAGATGAGCCAGGGATTTATATTGCAATTCAACACCAATATCACTGTTGAAATGGAGGACAAAGCTTCTGAAGGCCTGGAGTATGGAAAGTGTTTCACATGGAGGGATCATCTGCAGCAACATGAAAATATTCCTACTGCGGAAGAGCACTATGAATTCATAGAATGCGGAAAAAACACTCATAATTCAAGTCTAGATAGATATCAAATGACTCACACTGGGGAGAAACCCTATAATTGCCTGGAGTTTGGACAGAGTTTCACTTGGAATTCAGATCTATATTCACATCAAAATATTCACACTGGGGAGAAACCCTATACATGCCTGGAGTGCGGAAAGAACTTCACTGAGAATGGAAGTCTACGTTCGCATCAAAGGATTCACACTGGAGAGAAACCCTATACATGCCTGGAGTGTGGACAGAACTTTACTCGGAGTTCAGATCTACGTTCACATCAAAGGACTCACACTGGGGAAAAACCCTATACATGCCGGGAGTGTGGACAGAGTTTCACTCATAATTCAGGTCTAAGTTCACATCAAAGGACTCACACTGGGGAGAAACCTCATACATGCCTGGAGTGTGGACAGAGCTTCACTCAGATTGGAAATCTACGATCGCATCAAAGGACTCACACTGGGGAGAAACCCTATATGTGCCTGGAGTGTGGACAGAGCTTCACTCAGATTGGAAATCTACGAACGCATCAAAGGACTCACACAGGGGAGAAACCCTACACATGCCTGGAGTGTGGACAGAGCTTCACTAAGAATGGAAATTTACGTTCGCATCAACGGACTCACACTGGGGAGAAACCCTATAAATGCCTGGAGTGTGGAAAGAGCTTCACTCAGAGTGGACATCTACGTTCACATCAAAGAACTCACACTGGAGAAAAACCCTATACATGCTTGGAGTGTGGACAGAGCTTCTCTCATAATTCAGGTCTACATACACATCAAAGGACTCACACTGGGGAGAAACCCTATAAATGCCTGGAATGTGGACAAAGCTTCACTCGTAATTCAAGTCTACATTCGCATCAAAGTACCCACACTGGTGAGAAACCCTATACATGCTTGGAGTGTGGACAAAGCTTCACTCTGCGTTCAGATCTACGTTTACATCAAAGGACTCACACTGGGGAGAAACCCTATAAATGTCTGGAGTGTGGACAGAGGTTCACTCATAATTCAAATCTACGTTTGCATCAAAGGACTCACACTGGGGAGAAACCCTATACATGCCTGGAGTGTGGGCACAGATTTACCCGGAGTTCAGATCTACGTTCACATCAAAAGACTCACACTGGGGAGAAACTCTATACATGCCTGGAGTGCGGACAGAGCTTCACTCATAATTCTGGTCTACGTTCACATCGAAGGACTCACACTGGTGAGAAACCCTATAAATGCCTGGAGTGTGGAAAGAGTTTCACTGAGAGCGGACATCTACGATCACATCACAGGACTCACACTGGAGAGAAACCCTACATATGCCTGGAATGTGGACAGAGCTTCACTCAGAGTGGAAATCTACGATCGCATCAAAGGACTCACACTGGGGAGAAACCCTATATATGCCTGGAGTGTGGACAGAGCTTCACTCAGAGTTCAAGTCTACATACACATCAAAGAATTCATGCAGGGGAGAAATCCTAGAAATGCATGGAGTGTGGAAAGAGCTTATCTGAGAGATGAAATCTACATAGACACTGGACTCCAACGACACACTAGTGTGACATTGTACACAGTTTGGAAAGCTCTGATGTGATACGTAGAAAGACAATGCTCATTAATGCAGAAAAAGAAGAACACACTGTTGGGATATTTTTATGATGTTGTGGTGCTTTTGAAGAAATACAGAAAATATTGGATTGAAATGCATATGATATGGGATGAAAATTGTACTATTTAGATTTACATAGGAATGCTGGACAGTCATCTAGAAATAACATTTGGAAGATGCCTAGAATATATTATAACTGCAGCAAGCATCATTTCTCCTCAGAGATGGGAGGGAGTCATTATCCCACACAAGAAGAATGATTGATGAAAATCCGCGACCAATTTGAGATGGAAAGGGAAATCTTTGAGCAACTTCCAGAAAGATTGGGAAATTTTTATCACTTTTTCAAAACACTTACTTACTTAGGCACTCCATTGTAGGATGGTGGTCCTCCAAGTGTAGTGTCTTTGTGGTAGATCCGTAGGTGGCTGTGGGGCCCTACTCTTGATCCGCAAGTTCTCCCACAGTGAATAATAATAATAATAATAATAATAATAATAATAATAATAACCTTTATTTATACCCCACCACCATCTCCCCGATGGGGGCTCAGAGCAGCTTAAATGAGGCCGAGCCCAAACAACAAATTACAATAGAGTAAAACCAAAAACGCAGACACTGGTTTCCAGGTGGAGGTGGTCCTGGTCAGAGTTGGCTTGACACACCTTCCTCTTGGCACGTTTCTCCCTTTCGCCCTCTATTCATGCCTCTTCGAATTCTGCAGTAGTGCTGGTCACAGCTGACCTTCAGTTAGAGCTCTCAAGGGCCAAGGTTTCCCAGTTCTTGGTGTTTATGCCACAGTTTTTAAGGTTAGCTTGATCTTTCAGCCTCTTTTCGTGTCCACCAACATTATGTTTCCTGTTCTTGAGTTGGGATTAGAGTAACCGCTTTGAGAGATGATGAACGGGTATTCGGACAATGTGGCCAGTCCTGTGGAGTTGATAGCGTAGGAGTATCGTTTCAATGCTGGTGGTCTTTGCTTCTTCCAGCATGCTGACATTGATTGTTGTTGTGAAAACACGCAAAAACAAATGTCAGCATGTTTTCAAAACAACAGGGGCAAATGTCAGTTGTTGGATTTATGAATTAGAAGAGTGTTGCCAAACACAGAAGTGTAAAAAGGTAAAGGTAAAGGTTGTCCCCTGACATTAAGTCCAGTCATGTCTGACTCTGGGGTGTGGTGCTCATCTCCATTTCTAAGCCGAAGACCCAGCGTTGTCCATAGACACCTCCAAGGTCATGTGGCCAACATGACCGCATGGAGCGCCGTTACCTTCCCACCGGAGCGGTACCTATTGAACACAGAAGTGTACTTACATAGAATTATCTAAGGGGAAAAGAATAATAAGGGATACAATTAACTCAGTGTGAAGTTCTTAGAATTAGACCCAAGTTTATTTGTTTGTTTTGGAAAATGAAAGTCTCCATAAAATTTGGGAGATTTTATGATTTTGGAAAAGCATGACCTTCTTAGAAGTTACAACCTTTGAAAAACGATGCCATAAACTCTTGGTAAAAAGCATGACTTGTTAGAGCAGTGGTACCACCGGTGGTCCGCAATAACTAAAATATGCTCTACGGCCTCACTGTTATTATTACAGATAATGACACAGCCCGACCAAAAAGAAATGTCTTGGTGTTTTCATTATTTAGGCCTGTTCCTGGGGTTATTTGGAGTGCTGATTCAGAAAATGGCATTGGATAGTCACATCAGCTCTAAATTATTAGATATGGTTTTCTGTGGGAAAACATGACGACTGCTGGATGGCATATGTTCTGTATCAAAAACTAGAGGTGATGTGGTCTACCCAATGCCATTTTCTGAATCAGCATACCAAATAACCAAACCGACTCTAAAATCAACCGAAAACTGATTCGTAATCCTTTTGGTACTAATGTTGGAAAGTGGTCCCTGGTCAAAAAAAGGTGTTAGAGTCATAACCTTTTGGTAGAATGGCATTCCTGCAAGGCAACTAGGTTTCTCAGCTGTTAAACTGATGTACCTAGGTATGTCTTTGAACTGTTAGGAACAAAGATATGCCACTGCACAAAACGCATACCGTATATACTTGAGTTTAAGCTGACCCAAATATAAGCTGAGGCACCTAATTTTACCACAAAAACTGGGAAATCAAGTATAAGCTGAGGATGTGAAATGCAACAGCTCTTAGTACATTTCAAAATAAAAATAGATACCAATAAATGTACATTAATTGAGGCATCAGTAGGTTAAATGTTTTTGAATATTTACATAAAACTATAAGATAAGACTGTCTAACTCTGATTAAATCATTATTCTAACCATCTTCAGTGTAAATGTGCTTATGTATCCTTCCAATAATCACCATAGCTTGTTTTAACTATACATTTTGGGGAAAATGCTGTGTGTATGTGACTAAGGAAAAATGGGAAAGATTGGCGCCGAGAGAGGAGGAGAGGAAGGCATGTGCTCCACTGAGATAGGAGGAGAGGAAGGCATGCGCTGTGTGGAGAGCTAAGAGGAAGGCATGTGCTGCACAAGAGAGGAGGAGAGGAAGGAGACCTGGGTTCTTGTGTGGAGAGGTGAGGGTCCTTGCAGAAAGGCGTGGGACTGAAATAAGCCCTTTCAGTCCCACGTCTTCCCGCCAAGACCTTCACCCAAGTATAAGCTGAGGGGGGCTTTTTTAGCCTAAAAAGGGCTGAAAAACTAGACTTATAGAGTCTCTGTTGGGAGTGTCTCAGGACTTCATGGCCTCCATGACAACTATGGGGCTGTCCCAAATTATATCTGGGTCCACCCATGTAGCTGGACAAACTCTTGACTTGGTATTTATTGCGGAAGTTGATAAAAATATCGGGTTGGAGAAACTGTCAATTGTTCTGTTGTCGTCACTTTAATCAATGCTGTACTTCCAAACCATGATAATTTGAGTTTAGCATATTCTAATGCTTTTATATGTTTTTCTTTTTTAAATTTAATAAAATTATTCGTCTCTTTAAGTTTTTTGTTATATTTATTCTCAAGTATTTAACAATTTAGTCTTTAATTTTAATTTTCTCATCTTTTTAATTTTTTTAATTTCTTGTTCCTAGCAATTAAATAACATTTCTGATTTTTTTCCCCCCTGCATTTATAACTCGCCCTTCTCACCACTGAAAGAGGACTCAGGGTTGCCTCACAGCATGCACGATTGCTGCTTTCACATAAACATTCAATAATTAAACACAATTAAAACAGTTAATTAAAAAGCAATTAATTACACACGCCAATTAAAATCCAAAGCGGGATCCAGGTCAATTCCTTGTTGCCAGTTGCTTACTTCTTCTCGCTTGCTGCTATTCAGTAGTTGACGGCTTGGTCCCATGACCAAGTATTGAGTTTCCTTCTGAAAGACAGGAGGGAGGTGGCATATCTGATATTCCTGGGGAGAGAATTTCACAGATGGGGGAATTTGTTCCAATTAATTTGCTTTGAGCACGTTTTCGTAATATGTGTCAATTGCACAGGAGTTCTATACAATTTCATCAGTATATTCTGTTACATTTCTTTAATCTTTAGATGTTTTATTTTACTGATTGATTTTATCCAACTGTCTATTTCTCTCTCAGTGCAATCCGGGGAGAGGTGGATGAGCTCCCTCTATCAGCTCCAGCTCCTCATGCGGGGACATGAGAGAAGCCTCCCACAAGGATAAAAAAACATCAAATCATCCTGGCGTCCCCTGGGCAGACGGCCAATTCTCTCACACCAGAAGCGACTTGCAGTTTCTCAAGTCGCTCCTGACACGACAAAAAAAATCATTATTATTATATTTATTTATTTATACCCAGCTTTATCTCCCCAAAGGGGACATTCCAGAGCATTGAGCCGTTGTGGTTGAGGTGGTGGTGTCACTTTACATTCATTCCACTCAAGATGTGACCCTTTCAGATTTTATTTATTGTATCAGGAGCGAACCAAGGGTATAGTTGTGATGTATTTAAAAACACAAAGTTTAAAAACTTGGCATTATATTAAATGTCCTTTGATCGGTAGCTGGCCACTTGGAGTGCCTCTGGTGTTGCCATAAGGAGGTCCTCCATTGTGCATGTGGCAGGGCTCAGGCTGCGTTGTGATAGGTGGTCTGTGGTTATAGCATTCATGAGGTGGCTTCCTATGTAATGAACATAGGAATGGAACAATGGATGACGAATCTGGATCATGTTTTTAGTTATGAGACGTCAGTGGATGGTTATTGTTGTTAACGGTTAATGTGTTTATGATGTTAATTGTTTTTGTATACCGTGTTGTTGTAGCATTGAATTTCTGCTGTTTCTGCTGTTCTTGTTGTTAACCGCTGTGAGTCGCCTAAGCACTGAGAACAGTGGTATACAAATAAAGTAAATAAATAAATAAATAAATTTAGATCATTATCTGATCACCATGCTCAATATATCCCATATGCATGGAGGTTACTTACTTACTTAGGCGATCCCTCGTTGGACGAGTAAGATGGTCTTCCATTATGGATTTCCTTGTGGGTCCGTATGTGGCTGTGGAGCCCTATTCTTGCTCTGCATCTTCTTCCGCAGTGAGGGTATTGGTTTCCAGGTGGAAGGCGGTCCCGGTCGGGGTTGGCTTGATGTGCCTTCTTCCTGGCACGTTTCTCTCTTTCACCCTCCACTCGTGCCTCCTCAAATTCTGCAGCACTGCTGGTC